TATTCAGAACCAGGATTTCATGTTCACTAATGTTTTTTCTTAAGACTTTGTTCTTCAAATCTTATATTTCTAAGACTATTTGTTTCCCTTTAAAAATTGCTTCCCTCTCAAACATATGCAAAAGAACAGAAAAAAATAAAACCATCCATCCCAACCATTCAGATTTCAGAAAAGTTTACATTTTGACTTATTTGCTTCTTGTTTATTTAAGAAATAAAGCATTACAGATACAGTTGAATACTATCTCATTTAAAAATATCCATTAAATGGTATGTCTTAAATATGTGCATCTTATCGCATATAAATTATATCTAAAGTTGTTAAAAATATTAAAAATGTAATATTTATTCAGCACCTACTATATACCAGGTATGATTCTAGGTACTTGGGATACATACTGAACAAAACAGACAAGGATCCCAGCCCTGCGGACATTACATTCTGGCGGCGCTGTTCACTTGCTTTTCACTTGACAGTTTCAACATTATTTTCAACTACTCTAAAATAATCCCTTAGTTTGGATATGATCCTAATTGTCTCATAAACATATCATGTTCATTCCACTTCTTTGTTCACATTGCAACCATCCTTCTAGGTATTCAAATCCTAATTATCCTTCAAGTCCCAGCTCAAGATTCACTTCTACCATAAAGGTGAAGTACTAAACCCTTATTAATATTCCTCTCCTGAAGCATTTAGATTTTTGGAATTTAAATCATATTGTCTGATATTGTTTATTATTGTTTCTTTTAGCTCTCTCTACCGGATCCAAGATCCTTGAGGACAGGTACCATGACTTAACACATTTCCTGTTTGTTTCACAGTGTCTAGCAAGTACAAAGCAAAGAGTAGCCATTGCTAAAGTATTTCACTATGTTTCCATTTAATAGGTTATTGTTCTCTAGCAAATTACTAATATTTTTCATCATTTCATTGTTATAAGCTACTGATAAATTGTTTTTACTTATTTTATGACAGCAAAAGAGAATGAAGAACAGACTTTGGATTCAAACAGACTTGTACTGGAATACTGGCTACATCATTTTTGAGCTGGGTGACCTCATGCAAGTTATTTAAGTCCCAGTTACCTAAACTGTAACATGGAGATAAGGATCCTCCTCACAAGGTTGTTTTGAGGACTAAAGGAGGTACCGAGAATACCATAATGTTACGCTCCTCTCTCTTTCCCTACTGCTCCATCACAATCTCTGTTACAAGGACTGGTAAGAAACATCTTCAGACTTAGTCTTAAAAGTTTTAATTTTGACATGGTTATGAAATTTTCACTGATTTCACTAAATAAACTTTTAAAACTTAAAACTTATTGAACCTCCCACCACTGTGTGCAAAGCAATGTTTTAGAACTAATGATAGAAGGGTCAATAAGACAAACAGTCTCTATTATTGGGGAGTTTACAGACAAACAAGGAAAAAATATACTGAATTACTAATTGCAAACATAGCATAGAATTATGAAGTAAAAACTGATTCTAACATGGACATAAAGTCACCATTATTTTAGGTATTTCCTATCATAAATTAGTAATATGTAAATGAACCATGTAAAATTTATTTATATCAATTTCGTGAGCTTCTAAAATCATCACGGTCACGTGACATGAGTGAACCTAAATCACATACTTTTTTATTAAGCCATCTGACAAATATCTAAATTACCAGCATGAAGTTGGGCATCAAAATGGACAGATGAACAGAATTTTCTTCATTTTTCTTCAGTTTACTTCCAATTAGTACCACTACCATCTTACATTTGTATTGAATATCACAGTTTACCAAACACCTTCCCAATTATTATCCCAGTTACTCCCAACGGCAGTGATAAAATCAGTCAGGAGACAGAGTAAACTGATTTTTGGGAAGATATCCACTGAAAGGAAAATCCAGTCAAAATAGAAATGCAAGTAATGTAGTCTTTTTAATGTATACATTAGAATTTGAATAGAAAAAATTTGCACAGTACCAATTTTACTTATTTTTATAAACACACTACAGGCTACTTTTTTTTTTTTTTTAAGATTATGGATTTATATCAAGTCATTATACCACTGGGCATACTATCTTTATGTAGAAGCTTAAGTTTCTCCTTATGGATAAAGCCATTCTTGGCATTAAACAGAAGGGAAAAGAAACCAATGAATCACATTTCCACTCGGAGTTTCTTTCCCTTAGTACTTCCATGGAATAGGATTAGACCTCCAAGCCTCCAAGACCAAACTATGATAGCATGAGTCAAACACTTTAAAAGATAGTTTATTTGTATATTTTATGAATTCTAGTTTACTATTAAGTAATAAAAAATGAAATCTTTTGAAAGTTTCAGCTTATCTTAGTTGTAATCACAGTAATAAAGAAAATATATTTTTGTCTTCTTCTAGAAAAAACTGTTAAGGAGGGAGTTATACACTCTCAAGGACAAAACTGACAGGGACAAAAGTAATTTAAATGAGAAAATCCTAGGAGAAAGGTGGAACTTAGGCAGAGATTGCCAAGGTCAGCCATCCTTTGACACTAAGACGTTCTCATTCCAGGGCTCCATACCGCAAAACCAACTGGAATACAATCTCCTTTAGAAATTCTTCCACGATTCCTCCAAAAGATGTGAATACAGAATTACCAACACAGCAAGAAGAGATGAGTTATGTACCTTTAGAATTTGCCCTATCTTCACAGCCACAACTCTAGTCCCAACTATCATCTCTAGCTGGTTTCCTCACGTCCATTCTTGTCCTCATACAATCCAGTTTCTACACAGGAGTCAGGGTTATCTTTTTGATTAAGATACAAATTTGATTATAGGATTTCTCTGCTTACAATCCTTCAATGACCTCCTACTGCTCTTCAGATAAGGTGGTCTAAATCCCTCGGATATTATACAGGAGTGCACTGTACTATTCTCACACAACATCTGAGTGGTTTGAAAATCTCTCTACAAAAGTTAAAAAAAAGAAAAACAAAAGGGGCCGGCCAGTGGCACAAGTGGTTAAGTGCCCACGCTCCGCTGCGGTGGCCTGGGGTTCGCCGGTTGGGATCCCAGGCGCGCACCGACGGACCACTTGTCAAGCTGTGGCGGCATCCCATATAAAGTAGAGGAAGATGGGCACGGATGTTAGCCCAGGGCCAGTCTTCCTCAGCAAAAAGAGGAGGATTGGCAGATGTTAGCTCAGGGCTGATCTTCCTCACCAAAAAAAAAAGAAAAAGAAGAAGAAGAAAAGGAAAAGAAAAAAAAGCTGGTCCCAAATCCTTAACATTGCTTAAAAGGCCCCACATCATCTCTCTGGCCCTAACCAAGCTCCCTTCTGCTTTCTACACTCAATCCAACTGCTTTGACCTTTCAGTTCCCAAAATCTTCCCTAGCCTATGTGGAACCTACTTCCCTTGCCTGGACCTTTCTTCCCTCCTTTGCGAGTCACCTTCACCTAATTCTTACTTACCCATAATATCTCAGCTCAAAGGTTACTGTCCTAGGAAAACCTTAACTGATTTCCCCAGCTGGGATAAGACCTGTCACAACACTCTACCTTCTCCCTTTTTAGCTCCTATCTAGGTTTACTGGCAATTACTTTTGTGATTATTTGCTTAATACCTGTTTCCCCCAAAGATAACGTAAAGTCCTTACAGGTAACATCTATAATGGTCACCATCGTATGGTTAGCACACAGCAGGTACTAAGAAATTTGAATGATAAATTATTAAGTAATTAACATTAAACATTAAGTAATTAAAGGATGCACATAAAGTATTTACCACAGTGCAGGGCTAAGAGTCAGCGCTCAATAGGCAGCAGTTTCTGTTAATACTGTATTCTGCCCTGTATCATTGTTTGCTTTTTTGCTGAGGCAGATTCGCCCTGAGCTAACATCTGTGCCAATCTTTCTCTATTTTGTATATGTGGTGGGTTCCCACCACAGCACGGCTGACAAGTAGTGTAGCTCCGCGACGGGGATCCGAACCCGGGACACGGAAGTGGAGCGCGCAGAACTTGAACTACCACGCCAGGGGCTGGCCCTCATTATTATCCGTGTGCTTAATCACTCCCTTCATCCTGCACACAATTCTTATTCATTTTTGGTTTGCACCACTGCCTAGCACTAACTGTAATGTGACACATAAGTGCTTAATATTCACTGAATTTAACTGCCTTTTAAATCAATGCGACTTGAAGTATATTTAGAAAGACACAACATCAACTTTTAAAAGTTTTTCCCATTAAAACCTAAACTATAATTTTAAAACTTATAAGCACTCCAAAAACACACTCATGACTATGAAACACGGAAGCTGATTTTCACATCGTTTATACAATCTGTCATACTTTACAGTTTCACACTGACATCAACACAGACTGTCAGTTTCCTATGTTTATTTTCAATTATCTCAAATTACGTACGAAGGGACCACGGCTGGACGCCACGCTAACGTTTATTACTGCTGACAAGTAACAAACGGCGAGTAAAAAGACAGAGAAAAAAGAAACTAAGCATGAAAACAGTGAACATCAAACCTACAAAATAAAGGTTGAGTTGTGGGAGGCTGGTGATGAAATTAACTAAGAAATGTCCACCCAGAACAGACATGCTCCATATTTCTGTGCCGTGCTTTTGCAGTGTCGCCTTTGGAAACGGGGACATGTTGAGACCACATTAACTCGAAGTTTCTGAGCGCCTCAGAACGAGAAAACCCACCGCTGTGCTTTCACGGAGGTCCCCACGCAGGAAGCGAGCGCGGTCAGCAGGCCGAGGGCTCACCGGGCCGGGCAGGAGTCTCGGCCCGGCCGCCGCCGCACCGCGCCCGTTCAGGTCGCAGACGCCAGGTCCGAAACCCTCCGGCCCCCGGCTTAGCGACACAAAGAAGAGCCCGGCGGCTCCGCCTGACCCAGCGACCCCACCGCCCCGCCCGGGAAACGTCCGCCCACGGCCGGCGGCGAGCCGACGCCCCGGCCCCTCACCCCGCCGAACGCGGCGCGGCCCCAGGAAACTCACCCCCCGGCGCGGCCGCTGGAGGGGGCCGCACCGCGCTGTCGCCTCGCGGCCTCGTCCTCAATTCGCTCAGAGGCCGCAGCCGCCCACGCCGCCGCCGCTGAGCTGGAGCCCCTCAGACGGAGACCACCACCCCACGACCCTCTCAAGCTTGGCGGCTGCACCGCTGGTCCCCGCAGCCAGCGCCGAGCGCGCGCCAAGGCCGGCTCTGCGCAGCCCCGGGAGCGCGCAGGGGCGGAGGCGTGCGGGGGCGTGGCCGGTCGCCTGAGGCCGCGGCGTCTCCGCACTGATGGCGTTCGCCTCTCGCTTCATTCTGCGCGGAAAATGCGAGGAGCTAGGTCTGGGCTCACCCGGGAACCCAGCGTCTACTCACCTCTGTGCCTCTTCAGCTCTGATTGAATCCGTGGAGAGATTTCCCTACATTCTGACAATGTTGAACTTTACCTGAGCCCTGTGATTCTGGAAAGCGACGGTTAAAGAGATGTCCCCACACCTTTGTGTTCCTGAAAGGGCTTACAGCAAGGAACCACCCTTCCCCCTGCGATTTAGACGTGACTCACGCTTGCCGCCTTGTTTACCTATGACGGGGTCAGACACAGACCCTCCCAATTCCCATTGTTTTTGCTTCATAAATGATTAGCTGAACTGATGTACTCACTGACCAATCTGGACAAAATACCCTACCTTGACTTGACCAAGCTTTAGTTAAGTTTCTGTCGTTCCTCTAGGCCCCCAGACTTTGACCCACCCTCAGTCTAAGCCAGCATGCAACCCCTCCTTCTCCACCATACCAGAAAATAGGCTGACCTCGGTGTAAATGAGCTGTGTGATCACTGCCACCTCCACCCGTCCATCCCACTTCCCGACACCCAGTTCTTTCTGGCCTTTGTTCACTCCTCCCTAGAAAAGAAAAGCCCTTTTCTGCCTGACTTTGGACACAGTTGCAGATCTCGTGGTCACAGAGTTCCACTATGGCAATAATCGCCCCCTCACCCCGTACACCCCATTGCAATAGTTCCTTTCCCTCTTCTTGGAATAATCCCTTCCAAAAAAGTCTGTCTTTACCTAAATTCAGGGTTTTTGACAGTTGAGCATTCTCCCTATTCTAATTGTCCTCCTCCCTTTTTGCAATAATCCTTTCAAATAATCCACCTCCGTTGCAATAATCCTTTTAAATAAAGTCTCGATTCGCCTAAATCAAGATTTGTTTTTTACTTGACAGTTTTTAGTGCTGGGATTCAAATTGAGATTAGGCCCCACCTACAGACCCCTACCATCCCCACCCAAGTCGAGACACTTTGTTGATCTTTTGAACTCCATCTTCTGTTCAGCAATTCTAGGATCCTGTGGTAAATTCAACTTTCAGACCAGTGCTCCAGAAATCTTGTCTGTTGGAAGCCGTAGTAAGGAGTTACTTTGATTCTTTTGGGCAGAGACTTTTCGTTGGCCTTTATGTGAGGACTCTTTTTGTCCCAGCATCGTTTAATAAAGAGAAGAGTCTTCCCTTGTCAGAAATCAATTGACCATAAATGTATTGGTTTATTTCTGGACTCAAAATTCTATTTATTTATAGATCTATCCTTATGCCAGCACCATAACGTTTGATTACTGTAGTTTTGTACTGGGTTTATTTGTTGTTGTTGTTGTCGTTTTTGGTGAGGAAGATCAGCCATGAGCTAACATCCGATGCCAATCCTCCTCTTTCTTTGCTGAGGAAGATTGGCCCTAGGCTAACATCTGTGCCCATCTTCCTCTACTTTATTTGGGACGCTGCCACAGTCTGGTGTGATAAGCGGTCTGTTGGTGCGAGTCTGGGATCTGAACCTGCGAACCCCGGGCTGACGAAGCAGTGCTTGCACTTCGCTGTGCCAGCTGGCCGGCCCCTGTAGTGGGTTTTGAAATCAGCAACTGTGAGTCCTCCAACTTTGTTCTTCTTTTTAAGATTGTTTTGGTTATTCCAGGTGCCTTGCAGTTAGGATCAGCTCTTTCATTTATGTAAAAAAGGCCATTGGGATTTTGATAGGGATTGCATTGAATCCATTTATCAATTTGAGAAGTATTGACAACAATGTTAAATTTTTCAATCCATGCATGTGGATATCTTTCCATTTACTTAGGTCTTTAATTCCTTTTAGCAGTGTTTTGTAGTTTTCAGTGTACAGATCTTGCACCTCATTGGTTAGATTTATTCCTGTTATGCTGTTCTAAAAGGAATTGCTTTCTTAATTTCCTGGTTGGATTTTTCATCATTAATATATAGAAATACCATGGGCCGGCCCTGTGGCTTGGTGGTTAAGTGCGCGCGCTGCAATGCTGGCGGCCCGGGTTCGGATCCCGGGTGCGCATCGAGGCACCACTTCT